CCTTTGCCGAGTTTTCTCCGAAAGTCTAATTTTTCCCTACATGGGATAAGTGCAGGGAGAAGGGAGCAGATAGCACGTCTGAAACGAAAAAGAAAATACATGAAAAGTCAACATCCAAAAAAACCTTTCCCTCAAAAGCAAAGACGACTCCCTCTCTCTTGACCAACAAATGCGATTTCTCCCTGCTGGGGCTCCCCAACCGACAAATGCCCTCGGTGAATTACGCCAAGAAAGAGACCATGGTGTTCGTTAGTAGGAGACAAGTTGAGTCTCACCATTTTTTGTCGAGGAAGTAAAATGAACGTTTGGCAAGTTACTGATGAATACGGTATGGCAACCTACTGCAATGAGTGCCAATAGAGGATGTTCTTGAGTTGGCTAACCTTGACGAATTGAGAGTTGATCCTGCCAATGCCGTAGTAAACGAGATCTTCGCGCTCTCCTTGTTCGTCAAACCGTACGTCTCCAGTAAGTTGACGATGTCCACGAAGCTAAAATTACTGGTAATTTCTTCCTGCTATCGTTTATAATGTGAAGATCCTTTCATTTCAAAAACCAACACTTCTAATAGCCGTGTTCATCCTTTTACCGTCCACCCATGAGTCCCTTGAATCACACAGTAAGGCAGCAGGTTGAGGAGGAATTTTCAGCTGAAGGAAACACCTGTTAGGTAAAGGCTATATGACGTCATCATAGTTTTTTCATCTCTCTAGCTCATGGAAAATGCATGAGTGAGGATAATAAAACGAGAAGTTGTTCTGAAGGAAAGCCATGTAAGCCTGAACTTGTCACTCATCGCCTGAAACATTTGCCGCTCCACGCTCGCCACTTTCAAAGCTTTAGTGGATTTTTAGAATATTGCTAAAAACTGCTCGAAAATAGGAAAGAGAAGGTACAGCAACCCTCTCTCACCGCTATCTGGGATTACCATTAAAAAATGCGGAAAATAACGGTGCAACCACAATCCAAGAGTTCAAAAGATGACCATGATATGTTCACTGCACAAACCATATTCTCAACTATCCCGGAATTCTCCCACCGATCCCCCTAGCGGAGTGAGGGGAGGGGATCAGCGGTTGAAAAAAACTAGAAATCCCCCGAATTTCCGCAGAAATGCACACCCATTTTTAAATACTACGCAGCTCCTTAAGGACTTCACATCTTCGCGAAATTCTCCTCTCTATTCTCTGTTCTGAAAACGTCTTAGAACCCAGTCTAGAAGTTCTGGGAACATCTCAAAGGTTCTCGGAAGGGGGTCTATAGGCTTAGAGTTCTGTAAAATTCCTTTATCCATTATGGGTAACTGCTTAGCGCTTGAAGACAAACTGTACTTCGGGGCACAAACTGTGGCACTAAACAACAGTTATCTCAATAAAGCAAGTTCTAAAATATACCTCCTTCATTTTGTACAGCGCCGTCCCAATCACCCAAATCGCCTCCGCGGTAAGCGCCAAAGAGGTCTGAACAACAATACTATCATTATAAATAGAAAAGGAAGAAAACATATAAATGACCAACCTTCATCATAGGGTCGTTTTTGACGAGTTGTAGCCCTGTTATGTTACAGTGAAAGGCGCCATAAGCATTGTTAAGGAAGTCTTCTAATAATGACAAATCCTGCAAAATCAAGGGATTTTTTCTAGGTCAAAGGGCTCCATGGTCATCGCCAATTGAAAACTAGACCTACCGTATTCGTAAAAATGTAGGAGAAAGGAGGTTCGGTCATGTTCATTCCTTTTGCCTGTTGTAGAAGAGCATAGATTATGGTGATATTATTGGAGTGGATAACCTGGAATATCATTTTATACGATTTTACCTACACTTTGATTGGACACCATCAAGAGGGTCAACGTATTTTTACAAACCGCTCAAGAACTTCACAAAACTTGTGCTTCTCCCATGGTATCATAATATGAACGAAGGACAAACAGAGTTTCACGAAAGTCACGCCCGAAGAAGCTTCGTCACGCTCCCTAGCTGAAGTCTCGATCACTGTGGATGCTGCGGCGGGTTAGGGGGGGG